ACTGTGATTGATAATATTGGTACGCTTGTCAAAAGACCAACAATCATTGAAAATAACAAATTTGAAAATACCATACTTGACTAAGGATCATCTATTCATATTATGTTTTTAAATGTTTATTCTTCTCTATCCCTTGGTTCTATGCATAATATATGTATGGTGATACAATTGGCTAATAAAAGCACAACGCTACCACTTGGGTTAATAGAAGATGTCTTGTGAAGGGTGAACAACATGATCTCTCCAACATATTTTTTCCCTTGACTTGGGAGGTGATTGTTTACTTGATACTTTTCCAATTATATTGGAACTATTTTGAAAGATGCATACACAAATTGATGTACATGTTACTACTTTAACAATAGGGTTCGATGATAATTTATTAAATTTAATATTTTATATGCACTAAAATATCTGAAGAGGATCATTATATCTTTCACATTAATATTATTGATGAATTAGTTGTTGAAAATGTTTTAAGCCTCATAAAAATTGAAAGTTACAATGCATTTGGGGAAAATCTCGCTAGAATTTGAATTTACTTAACGAAATCAAGGCAGTAAGTAATCCAGTGCCCAAATTAGACCAATATATTTAGAGAGTTGAATTCGCCTAGTAAAATCAAGATAGTGAGTCTTATGCTTAATAGTGTTGAATGAAAACTAAATCTGTACATCGAAAATAAGACAGTTTTGGATGCTTGTTTAAATTTTGAGAAAATAGTTAAGTGAAGACTAAATTTGCTCAGTAAAAACATTCCACTGGTTAATGTGAAATTATGTAGTAAAGGTTGATTTTCCTCAATGAAAAATATGTAAAAGCCATAGGAAAGTTAAAACTAAAAAATTTGATATGGGTGCCGAGAAGTTAAATTTGATCAGCCACAAAAATATGAATAACCTTGTCCAATTTGTTGATTTTAAGCAAAATTTGAATTCGTTTAGCAAAAATTTTTCATTGCTTAATGTTGATTAAGAGAAAAGTGTTCAAAAGTTGTATTTGCTTAATAGTTTTAAAAGGTTTTGAAAATTCAGGAAGAGAATGAACGATTGAGCGAATTTCACTTGTGCCTAACGAAAATACCAAAAAAAAAAAAAAAAAAAAAAAAATATATATATATATATATATATATATATATATATATATATATATATATATATATATATATATATATATATATATATATGAAAAAATGAAAAAATTTGTCCTTAAAGTAAGGAGCCTAATTTGTCACCCATGTGATTATTCTTATTGTTAGGATGTGATTTGAGAGAAACTTCTCTTATAAACACTTAAATAATTGAGTGCATTTTTGTCTAAGTAATATTTATAATCTTAATTAGGTTACAATGAACACTATCTATTGTTATTTAGTGAGATGATTGATTAAATATATGTGTTTTAACATTATGAATATAAAATCTTTATGATTGAATTAATATTCATCAACTTGATTTATTGATAAAATGTATTTTCATGTTATTTTCTTATTTCTAATTTTGTTTAGAAGTTAAAAAGTTTAACGAGGAATTATTGATGAATATATTTTATCTATCTTTTTAGATATGAATTTGCAAACACATTTTATTTAATTATATAATTAGTTATTATTAATATAATTTTAAGAAAATAGAATTAAATATATTTAATCAATTTATTGATTAATTTGTACATTTTATTGAATATTTATATTTATACATTGATGTAGAAATGATAATCTGCTCAATGAAAATAAGTTGTGCTTAGCAATGTTATAAAAAGCTAATTTCATAAATAATCATTCCCTAAATATATATGATTTTGTTGAGTGAAAATATCAAATTTAATTCAATTAACTATTTTGTTCAACCAAATAAAGATGCATTCAACTAGTATAAACCAGTCTTTTATAAAATTGATGAATCAAGTTCAAATTTTTATAATTTGTTTTATATGGGTCTTATACGTGTATTACACATTTTAATGCCCTTGTTGTTGTGTAAACAATGAAACATGATTTTACAGTTTCCATATTTTCTTTAATTTTCTCTCTAATAAACTTTTCAAATTCTTTAGAAGGTATGGACAAATCCTACATTCTAAGTATCTTCAATTTCTAAAATCCTATATTATTTTACTTTTAATTCATGTATTTTTTTATTTTCTATTTTATTTTACTAGTGCAAAAAGGGGTTTTTACGTCGGGTATTTAGGGCTTTTTACGTTGTATTTAAGACTGACGTTAAAGCAGGAGACGTAAATTTACGTCGGACCCCTTAGCCCGACGTAAATTTACGTTAGTTATCAAGACGTGACGTAATTTTGCGTTGCATGTACTACTAAAAAGAGGTAAAAACTTTCGAAAATTAAAAAAAAAAAGAATCAAATTTACGTCGCGTATTGGTATACGTGACGTAAATTTATGTCGTATATACCAATATGCGACGTAAATTTACGTCGCGTATACCAATATGCGACGTAAATTTGCTTGCTTTCTTTTTAAATTTGGGTTTATTACGTTTTACAACTAAAACCTGCAAATATATATTACAACCAGACAGTCTAGAGGTTCAAGTTTCTTTAGCTAGTAAATTAAAAATATAATATTATATAATTCAAACTACATAATAAAACAATCTAATACAAACTAAAAAATCTACTACAAACTAAAAGTTAATACAAACTAAGCTACCTAAACTACATAATACACACAATATAATATGAACAAGAACTTAAAAAATTATGTACTAGAATCGTTGAACGAAAAACTTTATCCATTGTTCTCTAATTTGTGTAATATTATATTCTGGCAATGGAGATGGATCTTGAAATACCTGAAACATTAATTTGACTCTTGTAAACATGCAACATGAATAAAGTTAAATAAACTTAACTAATGTTAAAAGCAATTACCTCCGTCCAAGAATCAATTATACCCGCACAAACTATGGCTCTCATCCAATACATAACATAGTAACCACATTCAAACGAAGTCCGTTTGCTTATTACATTGAAATGATGAAAAAAACATAATGTTATTTTCAAAATTTAAATACAAACAATAATTATGGTATTCACTTATATAAATAAGTTTCTAACATTAGGATAAATGAACTACAAAGTCTTTGTTCTAGGTTTTCCACTTAGAACATTAGTTCCGGATACGATTCTAAGTGAAAAAAAGTCATATATTATTCAATATGTATTTACAATTTAAAAATATAATTAATGAATAAAAGATAAAGTTACCCTTGTAGTAAGCTTTTCATTTCTTGACTCGGTTTCGATGTAATGAACAAAACCACACCACAGTGTAATCCTGGGGCATGATTACAATTAACTGTCAATGGGACCTACATTGTATGACATAAAAATTAGTTATAAAAATATAAATTAAAATACTAACTCTTCAATGTATGGAGCCAAATATATATGTCTTTTTGAGTCACTCATCCATGTTTGCATATATTGTTGGATTCCAACCTTTGTGTTTCCAGATTTTTGGATGGATTTAGGCTCAATAAATCCATATACATATATTGTTGGGATGTCTAATATTTCTCCATGTCATGCCCATATTGTATAACTCTTAATAATACCATAAACAAACAAGTGATCACGTATATCCTCAAGTTTATGACGAATTTGATTCAAACAACGAACACATGGACAATAATATGTCCCTTTCATAGCTTTTCCATTTTCACTAGCAAATTTCAAAAATTCATCAACTCCCTTTTCGTACTCTTCACTAATACGACGTGCATTCATCCAACTTTGATTCATATTATGTTATAAAGTTTCGTCACTCCTAGAGATTTAAAAATTATATGTAAAAAGAAATTAATATACAAACAACAAAGCACGTAAATGGAGTGTGTCAACCGAAAATGCAATCAAACAAATAAACAAATAATTACATTCCAATAACAATCCAGTGGAGACATTCATACAATAATGTGATTGAGATCCCCAAAAGCAATCACGGATTCAATTTAAACATATATCAAGGACATAGAACACTAACCTCGAGTGTAGACGAAAATGATTTCAAACTCGAATCCAATCGGGGAGAAATATCAAGTTCGTAAAATGAGACACAATGTTGATGTTTTTCACTATCAAACTGATCGAAATAGTGTGCAGAGGTAGCTGCGTCGTCGTTCTCAAAAATCCTTGCTGCGCGAGACGAGGGAGTGGGTCTGGAAGGGAATAAAAGGCATTTTTTACGTCGCGTACCCCAGAATGCGACGTAAAAAACACTTTTTTACGTCGCACCTGGGTGGCACGACGTAAAAGAAGGCTTTTTACGTCACCTCCTAGGATGTGCGAGGTAAAAGTTTTGTCTCTTATTTACAAAATTGTCACCGCGTTTTATTTACGTCAAATATTTTTACATACGACGACAATTGGGTGACGTAGAAGCCTTTTTTGCACTAATTTTTAATACTTTTTTAGTTATCTGGGTTAGTTTTTTAATTTGAATTTTATATTTATTAACTGATATTTAATTATTTAATATGTTTTGGTCTAATATTTAAACAAATTTGCCTACATTTAGTTGTTAATTTTGATTCACTATACACATTTGATAAATTAATAATACATAATGATCCTAAGAGTTCAACATTAATGGAAGAAAATCTTAATTATATTTTGCTATTAAATGATAAATAATTTTGAGTTAGGACATTTAAATTTATATGTTTGTATTTATTTTTAAAATATGGTATTTTTTTTAATAAAAGAATTATATATATATATATTATATATTTTTTATCTATTTATTTTAAAAGTAAATTGTTTTTTTTTGGTTTTTTATATTAATTTTTTACCCTTTTAAAAACTTTTTATATTAATTTTCTTAGAATAGTAAAGTTATATTGAAGATTTCATAATTCAAAACTTAAAAATTGATGAAAGGAGATTTTTATGTTCCAACTAGGTGAGAGTTTTATGTTCCCATCTCTAGAGGATTTTTCATCGTAATTTTTCATTTTGAAGAATTTTTATTTTATCACCTCGACGATTTTTTCTTCATACCCAACGGCTGTATATTTTTGCATCCATTCATCTGGATTTTTTAATCCAGAATACTCCTTAATATGCTTTCGTGGGCCATTGCAGAGAAAAAGGCCCGTATAGCGTGAGATAACAAAAAATCGAAATCAAACACTTTCATTTGAAATAAAAAAGACTTGTTTGCAAATGGACTCTAACCGTGGTGACCCCTTTTACGTGTTGAAGTGTTTGTATCAAAATTGAGTTTGAAAATGTAATGAAAAAAAACCTCATAGCATTATATTTTTAGCATTGCATAAACTATAATTATTTAGTTTAAGTTTAAGACAGAAATAGTTAATAAAAGTGGGGTTTGAAAATATTTTGTGTGGTTTTGTAAAATATAGCCAAACAAGCTTTATGGTTTTATTATGACATTAAAGGAAAAATTTGAACCACATAAATGTCTTATATTGACAACACGTGAAGAATGACAAGAAAATATTAATGCTGATGAAGGACCATGGTACCATAGTTGCATCATAAATGTCTTATTATATATACCTATTTCTATTAAAGCGTGCACTTTTTAAGCTTTTTTTTTTTTTTTTAATTCATTCCTACGAGATACCAACATTTCTAATAAGAATCATTCACATGTTTCTTATCTTAAAAAATATTTTCTTATCTTAAAAAATATAAAAGACGGATTTATAATATCAATCAAGTAATTTCACCGTTGATTTTATTTCATTAGAAGTTTTTTTAATAAATTAAAAAATTCATTCTTTCTTCTATTTTTTCTTCTTATTTATTTTAATTTATTTATTTTTGTAAGAACATCTCTAAAATAAGTTGTTTAAGAATAAAAATAAATATTTTTTTATGGATCTAATGTTTGAATTGCTTTAAAGTGAAAAAAATTATTTAAAATTGGAATAAAGTTATTTGTATAAACAACTCTAATCAAATTTTAAGCAACTCAACTATAAAACTTATGATAAAATATTTAATTTTATTCATAAGCAACTTTTGTTAAAAACTTTATTTGAAGATATTGTTTGATGAAATAATTATAAAAAAAATTAAACAATTATCATGTCACATAGGATTCCTCCAATAAAAAATTATTTGAACCAACTAATACTTTATTTAAATATCTCAATAAATAACTCTTATTAGAGATGATCTAAGAATCATAAAAGGACTTTAAAAGATTATAAAAGTGATTTTTTATTTGGGTATTTAATGTTTTTTTTTGTATTTAGTTTGTACTTTTATTTTCTTCATTACTTTCTTCCAATATTAATTAGAATAATTTTGTGCTATTAATTGTTACAATTAATTGGTGTTTGAATACTTTTTTTTCTAGGTTTTTGCTAATATACGTCTTCATAATAATTAAGAAACTCATCATATAAGATTATTCATTGAAAAATGAGACGTAAAAGTTAAAAAAGTTAATTTAAGAAGGTATAAATAATTCAAATTTAATTATTTAAATTTTCATTTGAGCTCGTTAATAACGTAAACAATAAATTTAACTACTGAGTAAAAAATTATATTTTTAAGTAATTCAAGTAGTTTAATTTTTAAATAATTTTTTTATTTAATCGAATAATTTTAGATAAAAGTGTTATTCTGGATTTTTAGATTTTGTTATATAAAAAATTTATATGCATGTTTTCGATTGTAAACAAAAACCTGATCAATATTAAAAAAAAGTGAAAATTATATTAAGTGAAGCATTATTCAACGTAAAGTTACGTTAAGTCTATAAATGATTAGTGGGATAATATCCCATCCGACATTTTTTTTTTTTTTATTACTAAACCCTTATACGTCAAGTCCTTTAAATATCCAACATAAATTAACATTTTTTTAATGCAATGTAAATTAATGTTTGTTTGCATTGTCATTGAACTTTTTGTCTTGTAAAAAATTTAAAATAACATACGTAAAACTATTTTAGATATACATAAATATAAATTTATTAATTAAAATATATTAGTTTCTTAACTATGTTTTATTATTTTGAGTAACTGCTATTAAACTTAATATAAATTAAAAAATACAATTACAAATGAATTATCATTTTCTTAACAATATATAAACACATAAAGATTATTATAAAATGATTGTTTGAGTTATTTCGAAAGACAAGAATATTAAAGATTAGTAAATCATATAGATTTTAATCATTAATCTTAACGGGACAAAATAATATATTATTAATAAATAATAAATAAATATAAAAAAAATATAAAAAAAAAGTAAAATATTAAATTTGTAAATATACAAATCAGAATATTTAGTATAATTAAATTTAGGAAATCAAAACCATAAATATTAAATAAACAACAAAATTTTAAAAATAATAAATTTAAAAACTTAAAATTATAAATACTAATATAAATTAAATAATTTTGCAACGTGACCCATTCACTCTTAAGAAGCTTTCTCTTACTATGATAATGATCAACTCGGTGGTGGGTAGATAAGAATTCAAGTACTCTTCTACCTTAGTGTATGTACAAACCCACATAATCTATACAATAAAAATGTTTAAAATAACGTGCACAAGTGTTTTGCCTTATAAAATATATAGAATCTAATAGTTTGTCTCATTTGTGTATTTGACCACCGATTGGTTTGATCATCATATTTGCTTTATATTTTTTACTATTATTAAGTTAATTAAATAAAATTCATATTTTTTTATTAATGTTGGAGGACTAATTTGTAAATTTTTAATATATAGGAGCTAAAATTATTTTTCACACAAAGTACAGTAACCAAACTGGTTAATAAAATGTTAATGACAAAACTTTTTTAAGAGGGGATGTATTGAGTTTTAAAAAATCTGTTAAATTTCTAATCAATTATTTAAATTTTTTTTTTCTGGTAATCAATTATGAAAGAATTATCACAGTTTATAGAAAAATAAGTATACCAAGATAGAGAAAAGAAGAAAAGACACACAAATGTATACTGGTTCGATTCTTCTTGAATCTACATCTAGTTTTAACCAAACAACTTGAGCCTGAAGTTTTTTTACTTAATAATAGATTTACAATCTAATCAAATGATCTTGATTTACAACAACCTCTAATTAAGATCAAAACACTTGAAAATGTTCTACC